CGACATGGTGCAGTGGATCGTGGTGGAACAGTTCGTGGCAATGCGATACACACGACATAGTCCCGGGAGGGACTAGATCATATGGAGGTATGATCGGGAGCTACTGGAAGCTCCACTTCGGTGAACAACACGATGGCAAGAAGGGCTATGGATTAAAGGAGTGAAGGCCATGGTACCGCAGAGGCGGGTCTTCCGGGCGTGCATCGAATTTTGCATCGGATGAAAACCTTGGTCATCAGCATATGGGGGCTGTGTTCCACTAAGGGAAAAGTTCGAATGCAAGTACCAGTGAGTCCCATGGGAGGGACTTGATCATACAGAGGTATGATCGAAGCAGTTGGAGAGTTGGATTGCTCCAGAGCTCATATTCGCTTAAGGGAGCCCGGCAAGTCAGAGGACAAGGTCGAGTAAGCGAACGTTGCTACCAAGGAAGCTAAGGAGAACAGAATTGGTGCAAACCCTACAACGTGATGGCAGAGGCCATGCATGGGAGTTGCAGTCTATCTTTCCATCGACCAAACGGACTGCTTGGAGAACACAGAGGTGTTGAAGCAGGGGGTCGAAAGGGGCGAGGAAGCGACGACAAGTCCAGAGGGACTTAGCTACCCAAAATCAAGCATCAGTTAGAATGGAGGTCGACTTAGAGGAGTGCCACGGAGACATATCTACTGATCGTGAAGAAAAGGGATGCAGATGCGAGGCGACGGATAGTAGGGCCATGGGCATGGCAGCGCCATGGTATCGCAGAGGCGGGACTTCCATGAAAGTCATTGATCCCTTGCTCTCATGGAGGGAGAGTGCTTGGTCGTGAAAGGGGTCGAGGAGGTGGAGCATGCAGAGGTAATCTCCAAGTACCGAGACAAGGCTGAAGGGCAGAGGCCAAGAAACTTCGTAAGACCGGGGTTAACAAGTTTCTCATCAAGATAGCCGTAAGTGAAGGACTTCGGGTCATGCAAGAGTGCACGACCAAGGAACGAAGCAGGCAGTACGCGGTACTGTACCTTTGCTACTCAGTGGAGTAGGCGGCAGGGTTGATGGAGAAGACGGTACAATCCCAGAGGCGATCAAACCTATGAGAGAATTACTCCAAGTTGGGGTGAAAACTTCCTGCATTCCAGAAGTTCGATGGCATTGAGAAGGTGAATCACAGTAACTAACTCAACACAAGGAGTGCAAACACTTCAAGTGCTTCAGAAGTGTGAGGAAAGAGCAGGCGAAGTCCAGTAACCAGCTCGATGCATGAAGTACAACCTCGAGGAGGCGGGCGAAGTCAAGTAACCTTTGCCTTCTCAACTCTCAAGAGAATGGGCGAAACCGAGTACCCCAATTCTCTTATCTATCCAGCAAAGGAGCTCTGCATATGTTCAAAGACCCTTCGAAGATAATGGAAGACAATAGTTGTCAAATCCTCACTAACGGTGATCAGTGTTACTGAGAGTAGATTGTCCGCTTCATTTCCCAACGAAATGCCAATCGAAAGTGGAAGTGATGCGAACTTACTTGGATGTGACAACTAAGCGAAAGAAGAGTCAATGAGCAAATGTTGTGGAGGAAGGACCCAAAACTTCAGAAGTTTGCGAGACGATGCTCGTTAAAGCTCCAACAAGCATCTACCCAGTTCAAGCAGCATGAGAAATTTGAGAGACTGGCGCAGTAAGGATGGTCTTTTCCTTCATCTGGGGGATCCGCAGGAATCAACAAAGATCAACACAACTAAGCCAACCCCACACCAGAGTCAGAGTCATTGGTGAGTTGCAGCAGCATGACGGATCAAAGGTTCGACTACTCAAAAACAGCAGTGGAGAGCAGCTAGGAGCCAAGAGGCTCATTGTAGCTGGAGCAGAAGATTGAAGACTCAGCAAAGGCGAGGAGTTGCAGTGTCGACAAAGGTTTCAACGAGGACGTCGAAGGAATAAGTGGGGGAGAATGTCACAGACAAACTTCTAAACAAGGTGTTTGATGTAATGCTTATATATGTCCGTGTCTTTTGGCATGTTCATGCCTTGTACAGCATGTAGAGGGGTGGCCGAAGGCTTAATAGTCCCATTTTAGTTGGGTTGGTGGCCTCTTTAGGCTTGTAAATAAAGGTTGTGTCATGTGGACACGTGCGAGAGATTTTTGGTCTGTAATGGACCATTTTACCCTTTATTGTGTCATTGTTCAGAGCTTGTAAAGTCTGTTTGTAATTTGCATTGTCTATGAAGTGTTTTTCGGAGATGTTTGCTTGTGGATCCCGGTTGAGGCGTTCTCTCTAACCCGTTCTCTCTTTTGGTGGTCCTAAGGGACAATGGGAGGCTTCGGGGAGGCTGACCTTTGCGGACGGACACGCAAGGGTGCCGCACGACTTAGGCAAAACCAGCTAAGTTCGTGACAGAACGGTTTGTTGAACGAAGTTGTTGCGGGTGCGCGCCGATCGTTCGTGACAGAACAGGTGAAATCACCCGGTATGATCATATTACAGGGCTTTACTGGCCAAAATCAAACCATCTGGTAGTCTTATTATTTTTTGACAGCTTTGGAAACTGTCTTTTTTTGTCTTTTAGTGCTTTCCTCCCATGATCCTCTTTCTCTATTTCTCTCTCTCACTTATCTCTCTCCTCTCCTCCGCCTCTTCCTTCTTATCATTGTTTTTGACCTGTTTGAGAACTTTGAACTATTGTTCTTTTTTTGTTTTTTCTTTCCTCCCACACACTTCTCTCCTCAATTTCTCTCTTTATGTATCACTCCCCTCCTCTTCCTTAGTTTATCACAGTTGCAGCCTGCTATGTTGTCACCACCATCTCTTCTTATAAGAGCCATCACCTCCTCTGCATGCCTCCTCTGCTTCTCCTCTTTCATAGCTTCTTCAAATTCTCTTGGTCCGAACACTACCAACACATAACAAGTGGCGATACATCAGTCTGTACCAGAATCATACCAGTCCGATTGTCAATAAGTATTGACATCAGACTAAAATCTTAGACCTTGGTTATAAGTGAGTATAATATATTTTTCAATAGAATTGTTGTTTGTATTACATTATCTCTAGGTTCCATATGTGTGCCAGCTTACAGACATAAAAATTTGTTGATTCTATAAGTTGGACTTGTTCATTATGCTTTTCTCTATATTTTTATTTATTTATTGTGTCCTCAATGTTATTGTTGAGATTGCATATTTTGGCTCCTCAGAGTTGTAGCATGTTTTCTGAACTCAGGTCTGCATAGATCCTAGCTTCAAGGCATCAAGGTTGTCTTTGGTAGACAGGGGCTTTATATTTGCAATAGCTCACATTCGCGGTGGTGGTGAAATGGGGAGACTGTGGTATGAAAATGGGAAGTTACTGAAGAAGAAAAACACTTTCACTGATTTCATTGCTTGTGCAGAATACTTAATAGAAAATAAATATTGTTCAAAAGAAAAACTTTGCATTAATGGGAGGAGTGCAGGGGGATTGTTGATTGGTTCTGTCCTGAACATGCGGCCTGATTTATTCAAGGTTGCTGTGGCTGGAGTTCCATTTGTTGACGTTGTGACTACTATGCTTGATCCAAGCATCCCACTGACTACTTCTGAGTGGGAGGTACTTTGTTTCTACCTTTAATATTATTTGTTGTCTTGCTATTTCGGCTGCTAAAAAGAAAGTTGACTTTTGGGCAAGTTGCTGCATTTACAAATAAAATGCTATTCTTATTCTCCCAGACATGCTTTAAACTTGCTTTTTCACTTAAGTAATCATAATTTCTCTTTTTGTTTCTTTAAGTTAACTCTTCTTTAATTGAGCTACGTCTTTGGAGTTGCTAGAACAAAGTGTATATTGTTAAACTTATACAACCTTTTTTACAATAGGTGTCTCATGAACATGTTTCATGCTTCCTGATATTAAATGGTAGTCTTAGGGCTGTGGTTGTTCCCATCAATTGAACTTTGACTATTTTTGGTGCTGGTTTAGGAATGGGGTGATCCAAGGAAGGAGGAATTCTATTTCTATATGAAATCATATTCTCCAGTTGATAATGTGAGTGCTGATTTCCCTAATTGTTTCATTTATTTGCAGAATATCTTGGTTTATTATATCACATTTTTCATTTTTCTATTTGCTCTTTGTTTGTTGTCCCATGACATACGTTATCTTAGAGTTGTTTCCTTGCCATTTTCAATGCCCAAATGCTGTCATTGTACCATAGCTGCACCTTTTGTTTCTCTCTCCTCTTTCCTTTTGTGAATTTTGGATATATAAAACTAGATATTGTAGTGTATATTTTGGAAGACATATTAGCTTAATAGAAATGCTGCAACTCAGTCCCAAACTAGATGCACGAGTTATGATCATGGTGCCCATCCAGAAGCGCACTGTCCCTTTCAGTCCAAGATTGAGAAATAAAGGCAAAATTCATGTCTGAGGTAGTAGGATAAGAAAAAGTGAATAAATACGCATGAATGGAGCATGCAACAGATCATTTTTGAAAGAAAATATGTTGCAGATCACTAGACCAATTGAACTATAAACCCAAAAGAAATTAAAAGATAAAAACTGAAACTGCAACCATTAAAGCAAGATTGTAACCAACAACTATGCAAGCACAACCATAGTTGCTCCTGTTATTGGCCAAGCAACCATAATGAGCAGCAACTGCTACGCAACACAAAGTGCCGAACTTTCAATAGCTGTTGGCTAGGCAAGCAGCAGTATATGCTGGCCAGCAGCCAAAAGCTGTTGCGTCTTAAGTTTTTTCTGACTCTGCAGCTGCCATCCTGCTAATGATGGCCTTTGTTCATTTATGATGTTACTAACAGTATATATACATCTTAATTGTAAGTCAGCTATGCTTAGTGACTACTATTATGTATTCTTATTAGAGAACTATATTTTGTTACGTGTATTAATGATGCAATTTGTGTTGGTTGCTGTTTCTTATTGTTTTGAAGTGTGCTAATGTTATATTTGGTTCATTTGCAGATAAAAGCACAGCATTATCCTGACATTCTTGTTACTGCTGGTTTGAATGGTAAAGTGGAACCCTGTAGATTGCTTATATTATCTTGCCTCCTTTCATGTTCTCTAAGCATGTTTACTGTTATAGATCCACGGGTGTTGTACTCGGAACCAGCTAAGTTTGTTGCCAAGTTGAGAGAACTGAAGACTGATGACAATATTCTCCTGTTTAAGTGTGAACTTGGTGCTGGCCACTTCTCAAAATCTGGAAGGTAATTGCTTCGTGGTGCTATTTTTGAGTACTGCACACTTGTTCCTTAGTTCTCTGTTTTTATTCTTGAGTAGTCTTTACATTTAGTATCTTCTTTTGCCATTCTCTCACTCTTTTAAAAAATTAGCCAATTAGTGTGGAAGATTTTTGGATTCATCAGAGGTTATCATGTGTGATCCTGATCACAATTTCATCTAATAATTCCATCAAAGCTCTTTGAAGCTTCAGTTCTTATTCAGGATTGACAGGGAAATATAGTGTAATCATTTTGTTCTGGAGTTTCCACTTGTCAAAAAGAATTCTAGATGTGATTAGATAAAATGAGGAAAAAAATGGATGAGAGTCAATATGAATGGTTCTGATAAGAGAAGCCAAAAATTGAGGAGTAAATATTATATGAATTACATAAATTAAGGTATATCTATCAGCGAGGAGCCTTGCAGCCTGTATATTGTTTATTCATTTGGTTCTTATAATATTGAATGAGCTTTAAAGGCCTGTTTGGATAAATATGTTCTCATAAAGGCAAACATATTCTATCCCTTCAAGTTCAATCATGAGGTCATGATCATCTACATTATTGTGTCACCCATTGGGAAGTCGGGCATTATTGTCATATATAATGATTTTATATATTAGGTACTTAGTTTTGCAGCCCAAAGAGAGAGAGAGAGAGAGAGAGAGAGAGAGAGAGAGGGGGGGGGGGAATAGTTCGCTTCATGGTACTTAGTTTTGATGTGTGAATGGTCAGTTGCTTGATGCATGAGTAGTGTAAAGGGTATGAGTCATCTGGACTTCCTTTCATATTATAAATAGTCCATATGATGGAAAGTCAAAGTGGAATTGGATTTGACTATCGTTGACTTTCCATCAGTCTACAGCACTCTCAGGGTAGGCAATGGCAAGTGATGCAAGTCCCTTCAGTAGACTAATCTTTTGTTCTCGATTCTATTTCCAGTAGTAATCCTCTTAGTTGATTGCCTTCCTGTATTTATTTTTGTAACTGATGTGCCCATGTTTTCTAATTTATCATAACTTCTATAACACTGCTTTTACTACTAACTGGATGCAGATTTGAGAAACTAGAGGAGGATGCTTTCACCTATGCTTTCATCCTCAAGGCATTGAACATGATTCCACTTACAACGTCTTGATCAACCATGAAAATAGCTTGGTAAATAGCTAATTAACACACAACATTGTTTTTTTTTTTATTTATATTACTATTGTTTTGATGTGTCATTTGAGTAGCAGTTGGCTCGATCCCAGATTTTGGACGTGTATTTCAGAATTGAAAATTTGGAAAAACTAGCATGCATTGATTGAATCAACAAGTTGGATCCAGAGTGCTAACTTTTTTCTTTATAAGGTTGGGTGATGTTAAACTTGGATGGATGGTGCTATAATTTTCTTATAGAATTTGCGATGGTAACTTCAACAACCTTCACAATAATGTGAGGGTAAGAAATCCTATCCTGATAATTTTATTTTATGGAATTTTTTGAGACAGCTAAGTTGAGAAACATGGTCCTTTATGTGCTCCATGTTGACTCACCTGATCTGATGGTCGGGTCCATAGCAGGCGAAAAAAATTGAGCAGTGAATGACTCTCTGAAGTAATATCTTACAAAGATAGAGATTCATGTGAAAAGGACTTATAGCTCTTCGTTCTACAATTGTAGCCTCAATAAAGAGAGAGAGGTCGCCTTGTTTGCAGACATTTCAAACCCATTTTTTTAGCTCATTATAATCACTTATTCTTGCTTATTCATGAATCTCATGTGGGGCTAACAGTCCTATCTTCTTCTAGGGTTATCGGTTTTGAGCTGAAGCGTTTCACTCATTGGCTCGGTACGCACTCGTTGAGACGTCTATAGCTCACTCTGGCGGGCGTAGATAGGGTGAGATCGAGAAGGCGTCATTGGCGGTTCATGCATGAGGGTGCGAGAGGCAATTAGTGAATATGTCATGAATTAGGATGAACATAATGCAGCTTAGTTGACGCCAATAAGGCAATCAAACTCAAATCTAACCAGGTTGGATCGTGCTAGTATCAGCTCGACTGGAGAATAAAAGATGTGTTGAAGTCTAAGTCACAGCTTTTCATGGACTTGAAAGACGAGTCCCTCAAACTTAACGAACGAGTCCGACCTAAACAATGCTCTTAAACAACTTGATTCATTTTCAGTATTTGCAGTACGTCGATGGCTAGTTAGATACGGGTGCAATTGATTTTTGTAGCTTCTTATTTCTAATTTCATTTGTATAATATATGCATGCATGCTTAAGGTAGGTCATTTTTCAGTTCGTTTATTATTATTATCAATATAAGTATAACAGAAAAAAAAGATAATTTTAAAAATAAAATATATTAATTTATTAAATAAAAAGATAGGATTTTTATTGTATATAATTATAACTTCTAACCAAGAAAAAAATACATTCACACATGTTTAGAAGTTATACACATATAAATACCCACATGTCATTATCCATATTAGCATTAGCATGAGCTTACATATATTAACTTCTCGGCCCAATCATTTAAAGGTACTAATATCTTAATATGTAAAATAAAGTCTATAGTGAGTAATCATTATAAAAACATAAGTATTTATAACTTTTTTTAAAAGAGCATGTATCATGTTATGTTATAATATTTAAAATCATTGATAGAAGACATTAGTGTTAAACCCATCATCCTATGACTTTTTTTATCAAGTATAACCTTCCAACATACCATATGAAAACTAAAAAAGTAAAATTTTATATAAAAATAATTTAAAATACTTATATGCACATGTATGAAATATAGTAAATCTATGGACTTTTATATCTTATATTATAACATATATATATATGTATATGTATATATATATATATATGTATATAAATATGTATATGTATATATATATATATAT